GGGGAGGGGGTTGTCACTTAGAGGGGTAAAAAGTATAACTATTGCACTGTGTTGTACAGCTGAAACTAACTCTAAAAAATGGGTATTTCATAATAAAAAATAATTAAAAGAAAAAAGAAATAAAGCATGGCCAATACACAAGAAAAATAGAAATTAATAATAACTGTCCCTGGGCCAGCCGAGTGGCACGTTGGTTAGGAGTTGGCTTGGGACGCCAGCTCTGAGCAGCAGAGCCCTGGTTCGAATCCCATATGAGGGCCAGTGACGCTGCGCCCTCTACAGCTAAGATGGTGAACAACAACTCGGCCTGGAGCTGGGCTGCCATGAGTCTCTGGCAACGGTGTAGGCTGCAGTGGGGCAGCAGTAGGCTGCCATAAGCTACCGTGAGTGGCCAGCAGCCAGCATGAGTGGTGGACAGCCAGTGTGGGCTGTCGGGGGCCACCATGAGAGGCCATCTAGTTGCTGGCGACTGATCTGCCTCACTCGGGAAGACAGCAATGATAATACCAACATGGGCCAGTGAAGCAACATCCTCCACAACTAGACTGATGAACAAAAGGACAGCAACTTGTCTGTTCCCCTCCCCCAATTCCCTAATAAAATCTTTTTAAAAATTTAAAAATAACTGTCCCTGAGGAAGCCCAGACATTGGATTTACCACAGAATGATTTTAAATCACTTAAATACCCTTAAGAAGTTAAAGGAAAACAAGTAGAAAGAACCAAAGGAAACCATGACAATGATGTCTCCCAAAAAAAAAAACTCTAAGTAAAGAGGTAGAAAGTATAAAAAGGAACTAAATAGGGCATCCCAGTTTCGGGTACTCCCTCCCATAAGAGAGCTATACTTTCGTTTCAATAAAAATCTTTGCTCCTCTAACCCTCAGGAAAAAAAAAAAAAAGGAAAAAGGGAACCAAACAGAAATTTTGGAGTTGATACATTCAAAATGCTGAATAGAAGAAGGAAAAAAAAAACAAAAAAACAGTCAACCAAGAATTCTGTATCCACTAAAAATAGTCTTCAAAAACGAAGGAGAAATTAAGCCACTCCAAGATAAACAATAGTTGAATGTGCTCATTACTCTTAGACCTGCCTTAGAAGAAATGTTAAAGGGAATGCTTCAGACTGAAAATGAAAGGTACTAGAAGGTAACTCAAATCCACATGAAGAAATAAAGAACACTAGTAAAGGTAACTGCATAAGTAAATATGAAAGACAGCATTAATATATTTTGGATTTGTAACTCCTCTTTTTTCCGTATATGATTTAAAAGACAATTATATAAAACATGAATTGGATTGATGGGTACACAATGTATAGAAATGTAATTTGTGACAATAACAACATAAATGGGGGAACAGAGATATACAGGAGCAAAGTTGTTGTATAGTATTGAAACTAATTTGAACTAGATTGTTGTGAATTAAGATATTAATTGCAATCCTCAAGGTAACGACTAAGAAAATAGCTAAATATATAGTAAATATATAATAAAATATATAGTAAAACAAAAGAGAAGAGCATCAAAAATTATACTAGAAAAAAATCTATCTAACACACAAAAAAGGGAGGGGACTAATACAGGAACTGAGGAACAATATAGATACATACATATAGAAAAAATAGCAAAAGTCCTTCCTTACCACTAATTACATTAAGTGTAAATTGATTAAATTCTTCAATTAAAAGTTGGAGACTGGCAGAATGAACTTAAAAAAAACATGATTCTACATGCTGTCTTCAAGAGATTTATCTAAGATACAAAGACACAAATAGACTGAAAGAAGAGGGATAGAAAAAGATATTTCATGCAAACAATAATGAAAAGAGAGCTATAATAGCTATACTAATATCATACACATTAAACTTTAGATAAAAATCTTTACAAGAGACAAAAAAAAGATATATAATCATAAAAGGGTCAATCCACCAGGAAGATATAACAATTTCCAGATATACATGCACCTAACAACAGAATCCCAGAATACATGAAACAAAAACTGACAAAATTGCAGGGAGAAATAATTGAACAATAATAGTTGGAGGGTTCAAACTCAATTCACTAATGGACAAAACTACTACACAAAAGATAACCAAGGAACCAGAAGACTTAAACAATACTGTAAACCAATCAGATATAACAGATATATATATATATAGAATACTCTACCCAACAACAGCAGAATACACATTCTTTTTAAATGTGCAATAACATTCATTAAGACAGACCATATTCTGGACCATACAAGAAATTTAATAAATTTAAAAGAATTGAAATCAAACGAAGTATCTATTCAAACCATACAGAATTACATTCTCGATAATAAAAAGATATGTGGAAAATCCCCAAATGTTTTGGAAATTAAACAGCACAATCTTAAAAAATGAATCAATAAAAAAAAATTACAGGGAAATTAAAAAATTTTTTGAGATAGATGAAAACAAAGACACAACATAGCAAAACTTATGGGATGCAATGAAAACAATGTTCAGACATAAATTTATAGCTGTAAATGCCTGCATTAAAAAAGAAGGAAGATTTCAAATCAATAACCTAATCTTCCATCTTAGGAAAGTAGAAAAAGGAAAGCAAACTAACCCCAAAGCAAACAGAAGGAGGAAATAATAAAGATTGGAGCAGAAACAAATGAAATAGATAATATAAAACCAATAGGGCAAATCAAGAAAAACAAATTTGGTTCCTTGAAAAGATCAACAAAATTGACGATATTCAACTAAATGTATCAAGAAAAAAAGATTAATAAATTACTAAAATCAGGACTAAAAGTGGTGATATACCACTGACCTTACAAAAATAAAAACAATTCTAAGAAAGGGAACAATTGTATGTCAACAAATTGGACAACCTAGATGAAATAGGCAAATTCTTAGAAAAACGCAAACTACCAAAACTGACTCAAAAAGAAAGAGAAAATCCAAATCAATTAACTTTGCTAAAGAGTTTGGATGTAACCACAACCATTTTCATTGTACCGTGAAAGAGCCTGGACCCTCCTTCTATACTACTCTTAGCTTCTTCAAGACAGGGAAATGCCACTAGACAGTCCAAAGTGGCCAGAAAAATAAACCTGTGAATTCTGGCATGTATTCATGCCAACCTTCTTCACCACCAACCCGAGTGCTTCGGAAGAACTCTCTAGCCACTTCCTTATAATCCATTCGTTCTCACCCAAACTTTGTAGAAAAACAGAACTAGCCCAATAATCAATTAGCCCTTCCTAAATTTCACTTCACATTTAAAAGTAATTGGTAATTTAACAACCACTATATAAATAGAAATTTCCAAAGACATGAATCAAAATAATTAATTATTAAATTTGAAGGGGAAAAAAGCCATGAAACAAAAGTAAATCTACAGTGACTATAGCCCAATTCTGCAGACATCTTTCTTTCCACATGACACAAAAATGAAACGATGTAGTACAACTGAAGAGCTGTATGATTATAATTGTCCTGTTGCAATCAGTCTTTATTATTGAGTTGTCGGAAAAGTCATGACGTATTTTTTTCTGTTTTTCATTGCAAAAATGCATCATGACTTTTCCAACAACCCAATATAAATATTTAAAATATATATATTTTGCCATTCTCATAAGGAAAGGATAAGGTAGTGTTTAGATTTCATATTGATGATGGTTTTTCTCTGATGTCAATCAATATCCATTGCCCAAAACAATGGCTAGTCAACATTTTTTTTTTCCTCTAGCTGGAAAGATGAACAAACACTTGGATTTTAAAAGCAACATTAACTGTATAAAAAAGTATGCCATATATACAACATCATTGGTTTTTCCCATCCAAAGCACAAAAAATATCTAATCAAAGAGGTCTCTTTTCCTACAAATCTAAATTTCAGGTTTCTAGCATACATGGGTTTGATGTGACTATATTTAAATGACACTGATTTAACCTTTTTTAAATTGGGAGGGGAAGAAATCATATTTCAAACAAACATTACTTAAAAGTAGCACTCAGAATATTAGATTTCTTTTTTCAAATTGCTTTTGGTGATATGAAATAATGCTAGTCACTTTTTAAACTGTCTAAAAGAATATAGAGACCTAGTGTTTCCAAAATGTTAAAATGTATTAAATATTAGTTGCTAGTGTTTATTAAATATCTCCTTAAAAGGCTTAATTTTAAGTGGTTTACAAACTATGTGATATAATAAATTGATTGACAAAATTATTCTAAATATGACGCATTCATAAATTCCATGCCTTACTAGTACCTGGTATTTATATTTTCAACAAATTGTCAATTAGACAATAACAGAAACCTATAAATAACGTTTCTCTACTTTTAAATAATAAAATAGTGAACACATCTTTGAACCTGGATTGCTGTAAATATACGGTCAGTTAATACATTAAATTTTTTATAATATCCTAATATTCTTATTATGCTGCTCATCACTACAAATTAAAAGTCAATTTGCCATACAGAAGTAATCAAATTTGAGAATATGACATTATTAAATTTCTACTTTAAAAATACAATTTTTCAAGTTGTAATGTGCATTACAACTTGAAAAACATCACTGCCTAGTTCAGGTAAGTGAGTACTGCCAAATGCAATACATTATGTCTCTCTCTATACATACAAATATAGGATAGTACGTTTAAGAGTGGTGAGAGGTTAGACAGTGTGGTCAAACATTTTATCATTATGCGACATATAAGAATCTTAATGATCTCTGGTTCATTCAGCAAAGACCACACATAATTCAAGTGCAATTATACCAGTTTAGGGAAACCACTATTTTCATAGTTTTATCAAGTGCCTAAAGTGAAATCTGAAAAAAGTTATGCAACATAGCTTTGTATAATATATATTTTCAGTCCTTTGAAAGGATCCTTTTGTTAATTTATTTTTTTAAGTACAAGATGAATTAAAGTGCTTGGCACTTAATAAAAATAATGACTAGGAGAATGGTGTCATAATACAAGTTGAGCAATACTTAAGAAAAATTACAGTACCTTATGAAGCATATTTTCTACTGTTCTCATATGATTAGCAACACACTCTTTGTCTCTATAAAGAAATAAAGATTAGGTGTTAGTAAAACCCAAGACTTACTTCAACTGTTATAGATTTTAGCATCAGTCACTATTAATGAAAAATAAGGGTTAGTTATGATTATACTCCTTCTAAAAGTATAAAACCTATTCACTGGTATATATTCACTGGTATAGTTCCACATTTTATTTTTTTTTTTCAGGTGTACAGAACAATGCAATAGTTATTCTTTTCACCCCCACCAAGTAACCACCCCCCTCCACTGCTCTCCTAGTTCCACATTTAAATCTCATCTTCAGTTACATCGCGTGCCATAAAAAAACACCTTAAGGACATCTTCAAAGTTAAAAAGAAGAGTAAAAAAGAAAGAAAGAAAAACAAAATCTAGGTTATTTTATTGATTTAAAATGTGCTGAAAAGGCTCAACTTTAATTCTTTTGGTTTCCAATGAAAAAGAATTTTAAAGTCTTGGTGGTGGGGACATGTTGTAAATGGCCATACTATGCAAAATAATATTTTCTTTCTGTATAGTCTTTTCTTGCTATAATAACTGCACACAAACCATCTATGACCTTGACTAGAATTATGCAAAGTTACTTGTTTCTTCTATTAGCTTTGTATATTGAATTTGTCCATAATAATTAAATTAAAAGTTTAGATGAAAATGCTGAAGACAAAAATTTCATGGTCAATTATAAATTGAAAACTCTGAGTAATGTATTAGCCCTCCAAATTTCATAAACAAGCTAAATTCCTGAATTAGCAGCAATGTTTTGAAGACACAATATGAATCTGGGGGGTTTATCATCTTGTTTTCCTTAATCTCAGAATTTTCAGAGTTATAGACACACTAGAAATTACCTAGGCTTTGCTTCTCATTTGACATGAGGAAACAAGACTGAACAATGAAAACAAAAAGCTAAATTAGTCATACTTATATTTTATGAAAAATTACAATTATATATATTTAATATGGTATAGCAATGTTACAGAGCTTTACAATTTTTTTAAAAACTACTGGTGAGTATTCCAACATGCCATATTTTGGCATGTGTAAACTGATTTTTTCATTACATATAAGCAGTTTCCCAAGCCCACTGACAAAGCTATGTATGTCTTAAGATTGCAGATTCCCCATCCTGTGATTTAGATTACTACTTTCATATTCCATGATAAGCATTTAACAAGAGAGTTTGTCTCAAATGTTTTTTAATTTATATACATATGTAAGTAAAGGGATCCAGAATTCCAAATTTAGAAAACACTGAGTTTATTAAAATTAGATGTTTTTTTAATCCATAAATGGATTTTCTTTAAGACAGACTGTTGTACAAAGCACTGCCTTAAAGTGGCCCATGTAATTTAATGTGGGGAACAAATAAAAATACCCAAGAGAGCTGTTCAATTTGAACTTCACAGTGTATGTCAACTTGACTACCTGATGAAAGGAAAAACAGTCTCATCACATTTACATAGTTGCCCACTCTGAAAACTGTATATGTTTTCTATTTAACGTATTAGAATATACAGCTATAAAATTAAATGACGTTTCCATGATCAATGTGTTTTCATTGCACTTCAGAAGATGCTATGATACACATGTTGATGGCACACAAACATCTGTTTATGGAAATATTACTTGCAATATTAGTATATTATAATATGTGCAGAGCAAAATTTGGAGGGCAGTGGGGCAGAAGGGGATACGGAATATGTGATAGAAAAAAAACTAGGCAAAACTTTCAAATGTCTTACATTTCATATTTCAAGAGTCTTACATTTCATATTAATGAAAACATGGTTTTAAACACGTAACACTACAACAGGGCCCAAAATACACATAATTAGAGGCTGGATAGAAACTTATACTTTTCTGAAGTTTCTCAATAAAATATACATTTAGAATGTTGAGTTAAGAGTTTTCTTTTTTGAGGATGTAACAGAGAATTTCAAAGGGAGGCAGCTGTACTTTTGTTTTCTAACACTGTGTTATCCAGGGCTAAAACCCGGAGCATGAAAGTAAGAATTGATCTTTTGTCTGTTTTAAGTGATCTCCCCAAGGTCCAAATGCTCACTTGGCTGCCATGCGGAGGGCACTCTCTGCATCGTGGATGTTCTCCTCCAGTCGACGCTTGTCCTGCTCCAGCTGGGTAAGATGTCTATTGAGCTGACGCAGAGATTGATCTTTTCTTCTCAGTTCCATCTTTGCCTCGGAGAGACTCTGCAAGCAGACAGAAAACAGAGTTACTTGTCAGCCCTGATAATTAACTTCAATTTATGCCATAGGCTATTAAACAAAGAAGGATACAGACTGACTGAGAAGTAGACTTGGGTCATTACACATCAAGGTTTAACAAATTTTCTGCAAAAATTTTACATACTTACTAATTAGAAATGATAGAACTGATAAGATTTTGAAAAATGTTTAACTAAAAAACGCAACTCTTTTATTTTTTTTAAATACTGCAAGGCAAATATATTTTAGTCTTAATAAAAATATCTGGTTACATAAAAACCTCCAGGTGCATTTCTTTTAATGATGAAAAAAATAAAGATTTTGGTGGGGGAGCACATGAAATTTAGAATCTGTTTAAAACCAGAACTACCACATGCTCAAAGTGTATATATGATTGAAAGTGGGTTATGATACCTATCAGAGAACAGGGAAGCCAAGATTTAAAAATACCACTACTGTCTTCGTAAATATATCTATAATAGTTGCTACAGACATGTCAGTGGACAAACTGGACTCCAAAATAAAATTCACTTACTTCCCATAAATAACTCATGTCAAGAATAGCAACACAACATGATCAACATGTTTCAACAAAGAAAGGTATAAATAATAGTTGCATTTGGAATTATTTATAGTCCATAAATATTTTCACAATCACAAAAGTATGACTGATATATGCTGTTTGCTTTTATCTGAAATATTCACTTAGCATATAAATTTCAAGGGGCAAGTATACATACAACTTAATCTTGGAACTTTAGGGCAAAAGTCTTAGAATTAGAAACTCGCAATTTAAAGGAGAATTTTCTAGACCTCATTTAAAATTCTAGGATGTAAAACAGTATTGGGGTTAGAGTATCTCTTAGCACTAAAAATCTGCTCATTCCTTTGCCTCGGAAATTTCTAGAAAATAAGCTTATCAAACAGTTTTTCATTTAAATTTGTTGGACAGTGAGCTGAATAATTGATTGCATACATACAATAATTTTTTCTTCTTGCTCAGAGTTTAGCCACACATTAATGTCCACAACTAAGCTTTAAATATCCAGTAAAGAATAGCCAAAATGTGATAACTTCATTTGTAAAACTGTTCTAATAGTATTCTACTAATGCATTCACAATAGGTAGTATAAAAAACTCAAGCTGCCTGCGAGGAGCTAAAATAATTCATTCTAAATGTTAGTGAATTGACAGCAATCATCAGCCAAATCAGGTATTTTTAAAATGTTAAGTTTTTAAATTCAGTATTTCACGTTTAAAACAGTCAAGTTGTTATCAGAGAAATATAAGTCAAAAAAATAAAAATAAGTAACCTGAACTGTGATTACTTATTAGGTATTATATTTCATTTTCAATGTTCAGTATTACAGGACTTTAAGAACATCCCACCATGGAAATGGTCACTGATTCAAACCAAACCAACTTCAACAAAACAACAAAAACTAATTTTAGAAGCCATAGTAAACCTACCAATTTTGTGCCAATGTTTAAGATATTTAAAGGCATTGAAGAAGCATCATGAGATTGCTTCATTAAAAAAAAAATAAAACCCCTATTTGAGTCCTTTTAAAGCCAGTATTTCTGATTATCCTTCACGTAATAAAAAAGGCTATTTTCCACCTATGAAGATAGAACTAATGATCCACCACCAGTTACATATAAAGCTTGCATTCTTTTTCCAACAGAAATAATAGATTTATGCCAATCCATTCAAATTCTCTTGCTCAGTAAATCTTATCTAGAGGTGTATATTTGTGGGGGATGTTCAAGATATCATCTCTAGCTTTGTACAGATTGAAGCTTGCTGGTCCAATCTAAGCTAATCCATGACCTTGGAATCATTATAAATTCACACCTGACTTTTCAGCAATCCTGTAATATCCTTTCAAAGAAGATAGAACTCATAAAATTAAGATTTCTACTATGTCTAAATCTTCTTTCATTTTCATCTTTCAAGGGCAATGGCAGGGAGCCACCAACCTCTCCTAAGGCTTGCACCATTTCAGAGGCATAGCTAAATAGCCTATGCTAAGGCTGAAATTACAGAAAATAAACAAAGTGGTGTAAACAAAGTGATATAGATCATACTTCCTAAGCTCCTCACTGAGTGATAATATAGTTTTCTTTTAAAAAAAATCATAGTTATATAACTTATAGACACAGAATTCTCATTTTAAAGAGCTGAGGAACTTCACAATAGAATCTATATACATCAATGAGCCCATGGAGATGTACGAAAAACAATCAAGATATAAAAATTGATTCAAAAATGTCTTTTCTCTAATATTCACCTTTTTGGTTTATGTTGACAAAATCATTTAGTTTTAAAAATCCTAACACTGGGCTTTCAAGAAAGAGAACTATATTTACATGTCTGGATATATGTATCACACAGGCGTACCTATATCATATATAATATAGATTACATATAAAATTTTAAGTGCAGCTCTTCTTTTCTCCTATTCAGCTTTATCTAATTAAAACCCATGATAAACTTTATGGACTGTAATATTTCCAACTGAATGACTGAAACCAAGAGGGTGTGCCTCCCGGCAGCAAGGCAACAATGATAAGCAGCAGGTTAGCCACTAATTTCTCAACCAGGGTAGATTGTGAAAGTGTGATGTTCTGATATCCAAGAAACTGTTCAGGAGAGAATAGGATAAATCAAGTTTAATAACTCTGCTCCTAATTGTTCCCCCAATGCTCAACTCTAATTACTTGGAGAACTCTCCTGACTGTCACCTGATATTAAGTTGTTGGAGGCTGAGCCTGGAACAGCGAGATAATCAATAAACATTTAGTGGGGAGAAGAATGAAGATCCTGTTAAGCAGTGGGAACCTGCAGCACCCAAAGCCCTTCTGCTCATGAGAAAACCTATGGGACGGCCATAGTGATTGCAAAGCAATAATCCAAAGCACTGTTTTTAGGCCTTGAGGCCTTTAGGCAACAGTACATTGGAGGAAAAAAGGTTAACACGGTCACCCTAATTACAGCCCACTTTCACATACTTCATATATAAGCGAAGACAAGCCAATTAGGTAGAAAGGAAGATAAGGGAAGTTTTATTTGTATACTAATTAAACCCCTGATGAAATTAAAGGAAAAACATACAGCTCTGTAATTGTGTCTGAGAAAGGTCACTTCAGGTTCAGTTATCAGAACAGCACAGCCTTGAGATATTTCACTTAATCCGCTATACAGCCCTCATTTTGTGCTCTGGTCTTAATATTTACCAAAAAAAAAAAATTCAAAGCCTGATACTGCATTTATCTTTAAACTGTGTTGTGAACAATTTTAACTATTAGAAAGTTAATGGTAAATATGATAAGAGTTTTTAAAGAGACAAAGAAATAGTCCAGCTACACAAGAATCAATGCCACAATATTATTTATCAAAGATTCCAAGTTTTCACTTTAAACCCAAAATGTTTTAAAGCAAATTTTTATAACAAAATCCCAAACTGACTATTTCAAAAGCTATTCTGCAATATATTTATTGTATTTAATTTTAGAGAACAATATTATTGCTCACCTTCACGTACACTTCTCATAGTCCAGGAAAAAAAAAACTGTTCTTATAAGAAGATATTTTTATATCTGACTGTTTGCCTAAGATAGTCATAAAAAGCTATTTGCTACTAATGAAAGCTGGCAGGAAAAGTGTCGATACCAAGGAAATACAGTCATGTGTCACTTAATGACAGAGATACGTTCTGAGAAATGTGTTGTTAGGCAATTTCATTGTTGTGCAGACATCATAGACGGCACTTACACAAACCTAGACGGTACAGCCTACTACACACCTATGCTGTATGGTATAGCCTATTGTTCCTAGGCAACAAGCCTGTACACCATGTTACTGTACTGAATACTGTAGGTAATTGCAACACAATGGTAAGTATTTATGTATCTAAACACAGAAAAAGTACAGTAAAAATACAATATAAAAGATTTTAAAAATGGTACACCTGTATAGGTCACTAACTATGAATGGAACTTGGACTGGAAGTTGCTCTGGGTGAGTCAGTAGTGAGTGGTGAGAGAATGTGAAAGGCTAGGACATTACTGTACACTACTGTAGACTTTATAAACACTGTACATTTAGGCTGCACTAAATTTCTAAAACACCACAAGATTAAATCAAGCACAAGAGAAAACGATGCAATCAAGAGACTCGGTGAACACTAAATGCATGAGGCTGCTGATGGCACAATACAGCATACTTAACAGTAAACTTTTTTTTTGTAAGTAGAAAGAGTCCACTCTAAAATAATGATACAAAAGGGGCCGGCCAAGTGGCTCAGTTGGTTAAGAGCAACAGCGGTTCGATGCCCGGCCCGAGCTGAGCTGCTGCTGAGCTGCCAACAGGTGGCAGGATGGCTCAGCTAAAAATAAATAAATAGAATAAAATAAAATGATGATAAAAAGTATAACATAGTATTTATAATAACTAGATAAACCGTAACATAGTCATTTATTATCATTATCAAGTATTATGTACTTTACATTATTATATGCAGTATACTTTTATAGGACCCACAACAGAGTAGGTTTGTTTACACCAGTATCATGGCAAATGCATGAGTAATGTGTTATGCTACATCATAATGGATATAACATCATTAGGTGACAGGAGTTTTTCAGCTCCATTATAATCTCATGGGACCACCATCGTAAATGAGGTCCACGGTTCACAGAAACATCGCCTAACTATAGTTAAGTATAGGGAAAGCTTAGGGATAGAATACATGGTAGATGGGAATGTTTAAAGACCCACATTTTTTTTTTTAAGATTTTTATTGGGGAATTGGGGAAGGGGAACAGACAAGTTGCTGTCGTTTTGTTCTTCAGTCTAGTTGTGGAGGACATCGCTTCACTGGCCCAAGTTGGCACCATCATTGCGCTCTTCCCGGGCGAGGCAGACCAGCCGCCGGCTTCTGGACGGCCGCTCACTGTGGCTGCTGGCCGCTCACGCTGGCTGC